AACTTGCTTCAAGTAATTCATAGCATTACCAATTATGTTGACCTATTAAAATATTATAATATTTAAGCATAACTTACAGAAGTCATTTTCATTTCTTTCTTACTCTGAATGAATATTGGCAAAAGTCATTTGTACTAAGGCTTAAATAGGTCTCATTTCATTTCATTAACATGATCGCCTACACAAAATAAAAGTATCCGTTTCATATAATATACACTATGATTGGTGACATGATATTGATGTGTTGAATATGAATGTCAATATTCAAACTTTCATTAGATGAATGAAACTTTTGATACTTCTGATACTAATCAACATATGCTCACTAGTGACTGGCTTCAAGAGATATATCATGGAGTTCTAGTGAGAAGCAGTGACCGGTGTAGTTCAGCCGAGTCAGTTGTGAGGTATTAACTCACTGATAACAATGTTGGATATGTCGCTCGATTTCGTGAATTAGTTGAAGTTAGACATTAACACCGTTGGATAGCGGCCAGCTCAGTGGCTTAGTTGGTTAAGCGCCTGACGCGATACTGATAGATCCTGGGTTTGGATCCCGCGAGTGGGGGGTCGTGGATGCGCACTGCTGAGAAGTCCCATACTAGGATTACATATCCTCATTATTATCAACTTTAGTTTCATTGTCATAGACAATACTCTGTTGTATCGATTTTCAGTGATTCTTAAGTTGAAGCAGCTTTGTATTATAAAATCTTTAACCATATATCCAAATGATCAGTATTTCCTATTCTCATTAACATCGACTACAATAAACTAATTTATTGTATACGATATATTATTTATCCTATTTGTTAATTAAAGAGATAGAAGCTACATTAAGACAAGAGGAGAAAGTTTCAATAATCATAAGGAAGTGAATAAGATGAACTGTTTGTTTTCTTCTGAATTCCTTTATATACGTGAATGAATATTTATCATTAGATGTATCCCTTTAAGAATTACTTTAAGATGAATTTGATGAACTGGTTTAATACTAGAAACTTGAACAACACATATTCGACTATCTGTTTCAAATTCTCTCGATGTCCTTATAGCTTTGTGATCTGTGTTATCCGCCAATAAACTGTAGTTGCCACTTCTTATTGACTGATGAATTTACACCCAGTTGAGATTTATATAATAACGGTTACAAAGGTGATTGATTAAGGGAGACAAGTCACTACAATATTATCAAAGATTTACAATGGTTGATTATGATTAATGTCCAATTACAACAAATATGAGCATGAAAACTTGCTGTATTGCTGTTCTACATTTTAGACAAATAATAAGTTGAATTCAATTGGTATTGTTTGCTTGTATCTTCCCATCGTTGTTAACAGCATATGTGTATCGTATGCAGATTGCCTCAATATTGGCTTCATTCACATACATTATAACACAAAGATGGATGGTGTCTAGCAGTGGAATCCAGGAATTGTGTTTCGTCCTATTTGTGACTGATCAGCTGGATGTACCTGTATCCCAGTGTTGATGTTGATTGTGGCACGTGAACCCATCACTGGTTGTTTCAATCACTTCATCGCATTATCCATTCAGCTACTGAGTCTTTGTATGTTTATCTTCTTCTTCTTCTTCTTCTCCTTCCTCTAAACCATTTAATTTCATATCGACATCCTCTCCATGTTGTATAATCTTACTTTATTTTCATTCATTCATTCATTCATTCATTCATTCATTCATTCAATAAATCACCTACCGTTGAATTAAAATTAAATAAATAATGAAGTTCAACCAACTTTGTGTCTCATTAACTAATTTCTAAGCACAAATATGTATGTCAAGAAGATCATCGCTAATTGTGTAGGCAATTTGAACCACATTTCAATATCACATTCTTGACTTTTCAATATACAATTCACATTAAGTATTTTTATGAGGGCACGTTAATCAAAAATACCTGAACAAGAGCAGAGGAAGGTAACACACACTAAGTATTTTTATGATTATTCAATTGAATAAGCCAATTTATTTGACCACATAACAACAACTTGTATACATTGTTGATAGTTTTGTTGCAGTATACTCTAATTAATGAATTATCGTTTGTTTTGTAATTTAATTCTTATTCAGTTATTGGAGAATTGTGGTTTCTCGTTGATGATGCTTTGGTCAATGGTGAATTGGTGCTCGGATACATCAAGATTGTTTCCGAGAAGTGACCATTATCAGATGACACAACTTCCGATCGCCTTCATATGGTGTTTGCCATGATGAAGCTGAGGCTAGAAAAGCATTAGATAACTATAGAAACAGCATTACAAGGGTTCAATGCGGTCTTCCTTGACATACCTACAAACTCAACGAATTCAAGAGAACTCTCAACAACAGTTTTCAATCCTTACAGGGTCTACTGAAAGTAAAAGTAACTACTATGGAGGACAGCTTTAAAGGTATAAAAAAACACTAGTTTCAACCTCTCAGGAAGTGCTGGACCTCCAAAAGCATCATCACAAGGAATGGATCTCTATGAAAACTATGGGCAAGATTCAAGTAAGAAAGAAAAGGAAGACAGCAATTAACATCAGCCTAACAAGAACAGAGACAGTCAAGACACAAGCCGAATACACCGAAGCAAACAAGCAAGTGATGGTAGGTATTAAAGCCGACAAGCAGATATATGTGGGAGAGCAAGCAACGAGAGCAAAAGTGCTGCAAGAGGGGAAGATGCAAGACAGCAATATGACACATCGAAGAAACTGGTAGGGAAATATGATGAGCCAGACAGACCATACAGGGAAAAAGAAGGCAAGCTAATCAGCGAGATTCACGACCAGAGGAACAAATGGGTAAATCCAACGAACATCGAGGCAGCATACACAGACCTTCGTATAGATTTTACTCCAACAACGGTCGAGGAAATCAGGATGGGCGTCTGACAAACCAAGGGCGGGATAGCAGCAGGATCTGACAATATACCAGCTGAATCTTTGAAGTCAGACATAGAAGTAACTGCCATATGCTCCATGTTCTATTGAGGAAGATTTAGGAGGAAGTAAAAGTGCCGATTGACTGGAAATAAGGACATCTCATCAAAATGCCAAAGAAATGAGATCTGAACAAATGTGAAATCTACAACCATCATCAAAGATTTACAGGTATTTACAAACAGCTCTCTGAGCAAGATACTCCAGATCCGTTGACCCTATAACATCATCAACAATCTTCTCTTAAAGAGAACAGACAGCTTCCAGATGAACAGGAAATGAGGTAAATTGTCTGAATGTGGATAGGATGGCATATAATAGGGTAGGAATACATAGGGTGAACGTTGTGGAAATCCTTAAATCGCATCACGAGGCATGCTTTAACTAGATATTTTGAAGGGGAAAGGAAAGGAGTAAGACAAATGAACAAATGATCACTGGAGTTGGAGACAGACAGTGAAAGGATAAACATCACTTGACAACAAATAGAAAGCAGAGTCCAAGACAGAGTAGATCTGAGATTTCTATTCGGTGGTCTATGCCTTACGAGAATCAACAGGCTTAATTTAGTAACTAGGTATTTGAACAAATACAGTTTATTACACTCCACTTGATCTGTACTTATCTCATCTAACTTCATAACTCAGTGGTCAATACATGATGCTTGAATCATGGAACCACTAATTTCGTGCAATTTCGTCCTCTGTACTCAGTGTTCTGATTTTGTAGCTCCCGTCTTCTCACCAAAGGATACCATTATCACATATTTCCGATAGCAAAAACCGCTCATTTCTTTCCATACACATATTCAGAACATTGTTTGAAGACAATCACAAAACAGACAACTCAATTCTCTAAACAAACCAGCTAAAGCAAACCAACTTGCAAATTCACCCTAACAATCCAACATCTAAATATCTCACACATGATATTTGCAAATTAATTGTTTGTTCTTTCCTGTTCATTAGTCAATTCAATCATCAAATTAAAGGTGACCAAAGTTCGTTCACTCGATCGACCAATCAAGTCTCAATATTCAACTATTAAAACCACAATCGATTTGATATAAATGAGTATCATGTTATTTTACACCACAATGTAAACATCATGGATGAATAACATTTCTATATTCATATTCAAAACTACTCATTTATTCCATCAGTAGTAGTAGTAATATTAATAATAATAATGCATGAATCAATCAGCATTTCATCACTTTTACTACTTTCAATGAAATCATTTGTAAAATGTAAGCAATTTGCAGTTCCCTTTTCTCTTTTCCCAGCTCATTCTCCTTTTTCATGTATGCAGCATGCATGGATCTGTATCATGGATCATTAATCCGACTGTATTCTCCCAAATACATCAGCACATATCTTGATTGTTTCTTCTAAATGATCTCATAGAATTCATTGATAAACTGGATAGATAATTAACTTTTCAAGTGAATTAATTCAATCTCTTCAACATTACCATAAAATACAGTACATGCTCTCATCTGAATGTTGTTTGATCCAAACAGCTTTCCACCATTGAACACTGTATTGAATGATTTATGTTAAGTCAATTGTGAAACATGCATAATAGATGTATTTTATTCAATATCATATTGTTAAAATACTTGTATACATAAACAATTTCAATGTTCTCATACATATATGTAATTGCCATAATGATATAATAGAATATAGTTTCATAGTGTATCATTGTTTTTGATTTTGTGAATAATTGGAGGATCTTGTTGATTTCACAAGTGGTCTATACTAGAACAAACCATCGTAGTAGTTTTGTTATGTGCTACTGATTTCGAAAGATATGAGGCGTATATATCACCAATGGAAAGTGGAATGCCTGATGGCAGAATGTTGAGAAGATCGAAGAGAAGTGAACGATAACAGAGAGTGATTGTTATGGAAATGAAGGAACAGTGAAGTGTTAGACAATTGATGGACATTTAGCGAATGAAGATTTCACTGTGTGGTTCTCATGTTTCGACAAGACACTCTGTATTGTTGTATTAAAATACATTTTGTTTTCCCAATTGATGTTGTCATGCACTACACCATTTTTACTTCTTCTTCTACTTCTACTACTACTACTACTACTACTACTACTACTACTACTACTACTACTACTACTACTACTACTACTACTACTACTACTACTACTACTACTACGATGACGACGACTACTACTACTACTATTACAGCTAATATTACTAATAATATGACTACTACCACTACGACGAATACTAATACTACTAATGTTATTTTATTTAGATCTTCAAATAATTAGTTTTATTATCATTTTTTTCAATCTTTACCGTATTTTACTCAATCAAGATAAATTATTTGATGAGAATTCGTTAAACATGAACTTTGTCCCTATTTAGCACAAGTTGTCAGTACGTTCTTTTGTTTTATACAACACCATAACAATGCAGTTTACTTCATTCTGTAATGAATATTCATTTAAGATGGTGGTTGGAGGTAGTCAACAGGAAACCGTGCACCCGTGTTTCGTGCTAATTGGCACTCGGCAGCAAGGTGCACCTGTTATCTTGAGGGAACTGGTGCTCCTTAATTTATTCGATCCCGTGTCACCCAACTACACAGTCAGAGATAGCCCAGTGTGAGAACATCTCTGGTGCAGAGTTTCCTGTTGACCACCTCCAACCACTATCTTATCTCAACATAGTGCACACAATTTCCAGTCACCTTAACTAGTTCCCACATTGCAACTTCATCGATAGCATTCGATCTGCAATAAGAAGGACTTGCCACACATGAAATTGATCACCACCCAGTGGTCAGTCAATTGTGAAATGTTCATTTGCATGATGTTAAGCACTTAATTTATCTCCATTATCAATGCAATATGAACATTGGATAGTTAAAGCGCATTGTCGAATATTTTCCCACTTCATTTCCATAAACAGTTGAGAAAATGAATATTTATTGCTTACAAATTTAAACAATCAAGTATTGTTTACAAAAATGAATGATCTCATTTGTAAATGAATGAAGATATGTTTAGTAAGGTGATTGATAGAGGGAACATTAAGTCAAGGATGATTTCAGTGATGCAATGATATTAATTGGAGTACCAGATACATATAAATAGATGTTTCTCTCCGACTTGGGAATTCTCACAAATGCATGCAAACAAATGAACAGACACTTGACTCAGAACATTCATACCACACTGATAGGAAGTTAGTGTCGACTCACTGGTCTTCAATTCAACGACTTCACACTTCATAACTCAGTAGTGCCTGTCCATTTCTGTCTCACTCCTGTATCTGTAGTTTTCGGTTCAGGGCTGTAACATCTTCATTATCCGCAATGTCCTCAAATAGGAAGTTTATACAGTTGTCCGACCACAGCGTGTCACGTTGATATTCTAAAAGTTCTATCGAGCTGTGACTAGACAGAATCTGATCGGTTTCTTCAGAGGCATTGGTGGCTTCGTTGCGCTTTCTGACGGCCGTCCCAACAGAAGCATGTCTGCATTGAATATTCATTTGAGCAAATGATTCGGTAAATCACACAGCATTTTATCATGCTGTGAATGATATGCAGATGAATAGGCAATGCTCGAACTTTTGTCGACACATATCATGTTTGATGAGGTCTTTCAACGTGTAAACTAATCGAATGTTCAACAAAGAGAGCAATGTACTCAATAGGAAGGAAGAAGTCAACTTTATTTGCGAAATACCTATTTATATCAGTCCATCGCTTCTCTGTTACGGTTATGGAGTTATTAGATTACTTTGTTTGTGTTCATTACAATTAGGTGATCGGGTTGTAGTGTTTAGTACTATTTCAAGCCCATATGGTTAGTTCTAGTTTCCGGACAGACCAATTGATTTGTTGGTCTTGAGCTGCATCTCGACCTTGTGGATTATTCGTCTATTGAGTCACACCTTATCAAATTGACTCGGAATACTAGCCTTCTCGGCTCCACTGCTCTCCACTCTGCTTCAATTCTTCTCTTCTAGCTATGAAGTTCTATCTGAATGATAAATGAATACCTGAAATAAATTAATTCAACTCAACACTTATTTGACTTCTTATTACCACCGTCGCACAAACCGGATTAAACTAGTGTAATAATTACGGAGTTCAATAGAACATTTATATTCATGACATATTCATTCGTACATTCAAATCGGAGTCAGATCAACGTGACACATAAAGGTATTTAGTTTATACATAGCAGTCGAATCAAAATCATGCAAAATATTTTATCTCGTGTTTATACAACTAATTGCTTGATTCTATATAGAGGTTTGAATTTCCCTGTTGTTAATATCAAACACAGCATTGCAATATGTGCATCTTGAGTGGAATGTCTTAACATTGCTTCTAGTTGAAAGTTCGATTAAATTTGGGTCTGAGCTACAAGTTCAGTCCAGCAGTTCTGTTCCGTCTTATTTGAAACACGTTAGCTAGATATACACACAACCCAATGTTGATATTCACGCAGATTGTCGAAAATAGTTCATATAACTTCGAACGCCATGTAACACAAAAACGAGAAATCCAAAACATTCACTACAATTTTATAGTCTCTGAACAAATTACGAAACCATAGGTACTGCATTACAGATTCAGTATGAACATAGACATTAGGATACATGTACATCTACAAGATGAAACACAGATGATACGAAATTCACGTTTTAGATTTCACTGTCAATCACAACACAAATATCAGTGAACATTCAAATAAAAGAAATATCGCGGCGGTCCACTCATGATGCACATATCGCCACACAATCTGATCCAATACAACAATTAATATCAACAAGGGGCAAGTCGAAACCAGGTAGTCAATTCAGTTAATCTCGGTTAAAGTTGTTCGAGACACTTACGATTATTATCTTGGAAGTGTACATGCAATCTGTTATGACTGTTGTCCCTGTCAATGATCACAAGACAAAATCGCTTGTCACAGTACCAACTTCTCTGAAACTATCCCTCCCTATGCTTAACCAATCGCTCATCTTCAGTACCAACATTCTTGACTCAACTCTGAATACATCTTAGTACTCTGTTAGGTCCTGGGTTCGAATCTCGCAGGGAGGGGGCGGGTCCGTGGATGCGCACTGCTGAGGAGTCCCATAATAGGATGAAACGATTGTTCAGTGCTTCCAGATTTTCCATGATGATATAGCTCCAATTGACTCATGATTTCAACTATTCAATATCACTTTCTTAAACTTCTTTATACTATTTACACAACTTGTAAATTTTCAATTTGCCTAAAGTGTTTTATTTCTATTACAGAGAGGAGTAGATAATGAAACTAGTCAAGTGGACAGATCTAAATTCTATTAAAATATCGGCTAACAAAAAATTACAGAATATTTGATTGAACAGATAACTAGTTGTTTTTTTTTCTTTGTTTTGTATTGAATACGAATTATTTTGATGGTGTTTTATTCTCTGAGCTGGATGATTTCGTCGTGGAGTTTTCATCGTTCTTCTGAATGACATCCATCTGAGATAAAAATCTTTGCCACCGTCCATTTCATTTTTTGATAATATAACACTTATATAAGATGCAGTATTTGAATATGTATTTTTTACTTATTAATTTATTTGGACACATAAATATTGGTACAATAGGGGTGTGGTGTGAGCTACTTATATTCATATAAGTAGTATATTACGTGCGTTTAATAAACGTAAGGTCCGGCAGCAGAAGATGGCGAAGATCAAGAAAGGAAGAGCAAGAGCACAATGGAATTGTAAGAAAACACATGTACAATGGAATGGGAGACAATGGATTAGTGTTTGCAACGGGAACAGTACAGTTTGATATGATGGAATGATATTTTGCAAATTGACGATTGACTTTATGGTATTCACATTTTATTGAGATAGTCTGTAATCTTTGTTCTAAATACAATCGATTGTCCCCACCCGTGTTCTTCCTCACTACAGGGGCACCAAATATATATGCACCACACAAAACAATGGAAATGGGAAGAGAAATGGAGGGTAAGGCGCATACATGAGAAAAAACAATAACGACCACAGATTAGTGTGGGAAACGTAAAGGTACAATCAGAAAAGATCTTTCAGTTAAGGAAGTTACAAACACTTTTTATGAGGAAAGTAAAAGAAGGTTACAGCAGAATCGCCACTGGCTTCTATTCTGAGCCATATCTGACAACGTCTCTAGCCACTGTGTCGCACCATCTTTCAGACCCCAACCAAGCAGTCGTGAAGGACAAACACAGGTCAGCCCTATGCAGCTTTCTTTCATAGCACGACACCATGTCATACACTAACCACCTCTCCGATTCTTCCAACCAGTCCTAGAGTCGGCAAATAATGCACGACGTGGAATTCTCTGGGACGATATCCGTAGAAGATGTTCAATCCACCAAAAAAGATGTTTCGAAATGGTGACACCAATTGCATTATCGTCTATACACCCGAACACACGATGCCGAAACTCTGCATTACTAATATGGTATTGCCACTGGATGTCAGTAATCCTTCGGAGACAACTATGATCAAACATAGAGAGTCCTCTAACATCCTCAATTCGGAGAGGCCAGGCTTCACAAGCATAGAGCAGAACTGCTCTCACCGACGCATTGTAGATCCGACCGTTTACAGCCAGACTGACATAACGAAGTCGCCAAAGATGGCTTAGATTGGCATAAGCAGCTCTGACTTTCACCCTACCTGAATTGATCTCATCACTCACGCTACCACCAGTACTTATGCAGCTACCCAGATACATGGACATTCGACTACTTCTATCTGCTCACTACCCAAGTTGAGTGCAGGATTACAATCCTGCCAGTCTTGTAGAAGTACCTAGGGAATATGTATTGACTGTGGCAACAAAAAACAAACACACAAACGTGACAAATATAAGTTGAATGGAATAAAGCATTATACTTTCACTACAAAAATAGAAGAAAATTAATTGATCAAAAATGATTTTATAACGTGTTATAACTTGTGAGTTTGTGCCCTATTAATATATGACAATGATAGCGCCAACTAGAAAACAGTGAATTATCGACCGAACCAATGATACATAAAGCCCGTAGAAGCAGTCAAGTGTCTTTAGTTGCCCAGGATGTGACTCTAGTAAGATCGTTTCTGATTACTATTGAAATATACACATCGTCATTCATCGTATATAATTATCGAATTGGATCGCACTAGTGAATAACAGAATTAAATAAGTCAAATACGGGAATGGATTTCCCAATACATATACCTGTTGACTATCTCCAACCACCATCTTAAATGAATATTCAA